TCCCAACCGAGTGCAAACCAAACCCGCCGTACTTCAAGGAATGCGCATTGACGTTGCTGACCAACAGCGAGGACGCAGCCAACACAACGTTCCTCAGCAACAATACGCTCAAGATGTTGATCCTAATGTCAAAAAGCTGGACTGCGGAAGACTGCACCGCGTCAACCTCCGTGACGGCAATGTCGCAGTGCTGCGGGAAGACAAGTGCAAACACAACAACAGAGGACCGCATCACCGTCTGGCTCACGCGGATCAGGACGCCGGCTGACTCGGCCGACTCAGCACCCCCAACAAACTGCAGCGTGGCGCCGCCACGGAATGTGCACCCAGTGAGCGTGATGTTGATGGGGAGATGCAGCGGCATACTGTTGAAAAAAAACTTCAGCGCAGCACCCACGCCGCTGAATGTCACACTCACGTAGCAGTGGTGCGTCTTCCACATGTTCAGCGTGAGGCTCGTCAGCGTCTGGTTCACCACGCAGCTCGTGTCGCCGTCGACAGCTCTCTCCGGCAAGGGCGGCACAACCGTGTCGGGCATCTCAAGGGGAAGACACGACGCGCCATGCCATCCGTCCCTGCAGCTGCACGAGCACGAGTTGCGGTCCACCGACTCCGTCCCGGGCATGTAGCACGCCGCGTCATCATTGCACGTGCCGCACCTGAACACCACCACGCCCCCCGGAAACACACCGTCGTACAACACCTCCTTCCCTTCCTCGTGCAGGTTGCACCCCACCACAAACCGCGCGGGCGACGCCACAATCGTGTTCGGTGGAAGAAGTTTGGCAAAGGCTGCACTTCCTTCCACCTGACGGTTGTGTGCAAGCACCACAGTGGTGCCGCTGCCCGACAGCTTAATTTTCTGCTGGGGATGCGATATACTTAATACTGAGGCCGCACCCACGCTGTTGCCCTCCACACGCCACTGCGCTCCACCCTGAAGGATGAGAGAGTTCGATAAATACACCAGCGCGGGATCAAAAAAATATTCCTTGCCAATGAACCTGCAGTCCGCTACTCTCAACAGCCCCGCGGTGCTCACAGTGGCCACCTTCACAAACCAAACGCCTATGACCGCTCTCATCGTGTTGTTCTCCACGTCAAAGTAGCCTCCGTTCTTCACGTCAACAGCATGAACGCAAATGGCTAATTCCACACCGCTATTCCCCGCTGTCCTCAGTATATTTCCTTTCACAATGATCCCGCCACCATCAACAACAACAACAAAGGGGAAATTAAGTGCGTACCGATTCCCCTCAATGCGGTTGTCAAGCAGCAGCAGCGTCGAGTTCGCTCCAAGAGAAAATTCCGGAAAGGCAACGGCGTAGCTCCACGTCGTCACAAGCGTACAGCCCACCACCAGTATCTGGGAGCTCGCGCCAAAATCACCTTCAAACTCCAATGCACCAGAATCCAACATCGAGGATGTCACGTTCACGTGCACGCGCGCACCACTCCCCTTGATCGACAGGCCCACTAGGACGCATTGCAGCAGCGTGATGTTCAGTGTCTGTTGTGGCGCGTCAAAATGCAACACGTCCAGCAGAATCACGGCAGTGAAGGTCACGTTGACAAGGCACAGACCACGCACACCGGGATCAGGATCGTCCACGGAGCTGATGCTGCCACCGTGCACGCAGCGGACCTCCGTGTCGGTCGCGTCAGGGAGCGGGAGCGGCCCAATGCCGTCCGGAACCGCAGCTGGCAGACAGGTGTCACCGTAGCCGCCAGCAGCGCACACACACTCACAGCCGCTGATGCTGCTCGTCCTCGCTGCAAAGCACACAGCCTCCACGGTGCACGCACCACAGTCCAACACCGTCACGGGTGCTCCAATGTTGAGCTCTTCTTGGTAATCCGTCACAGGAGAGCCCATTGCCTCGTTGCACACGCCGTAGATGATCGGGTGCGTGTCGGATGGTGGTGACCAGTTGCTTGTCATGCGTGCGATGGTCGACGAGTACGAGTCGTAAGTGAATTTGTTGTCAAGTATCGACCACACACTCCGATCGCGGAACGCCAAGCTGTTCTCCTTGGCCACGTGCACGACGTAGGCGGTGCGGAACTCGTTGTTGCGGTGCACCAGCCAGCTGCCGCCAGTCACGGTCAGCGTGGTTGCAATGAGCATGGCAAAGCCAAGACGGAAAGTGCTGGACACAATCTGCAGCACGCTGCCGCCAGTCACCACAACATCCCTGAACATACACGCACTTTCGTAGAATTTACTACTCGGCGCACTCCACGAGCTGTTCTGTATGGAGAACACGGAGTCGCCGACAACACGCAGGCCCGACACAAGGGCGTACATCACGTGCGCCCGCGACTTGACAACGCAGTTGTCCATGTAAAAGACGCTGGACAGGTTCACGACGAGGCCGCTCTCCACGAGGATCGCAGCGCACAATTCCCCGCCACACACCAGCATCGACCGCGTCATGAAAAACCGCGTCGACAGAAGCCGGACGCCGTCCAGAACAAGCGCGGGGCCACACCGAAATCCCGCAAGGCCACGGGCCGTCGGCACGTACTGCGACCCGCCAACCGTCGCGCGCAGCGTTGAGTTCGCCAGCAACACACTCGAGTGCGGCGGCATCGCGCCATGCAGCACGATCGTGCCCTCCAGCGACGTCACATTCGTCATGTTGACGAGGGCGTGGGGCATCAGACGCGCCGTGCTCTCGCTGAGGCCACCAATCCGCAGCTGCGCGCCGTCCGCAAGCACGCAGTGGCGCAGCGTCACGTTCAGCGCGTCAGCGAACGCGTCCATCAGGCGCAGGTGCACCGCCACGATGATCGGCCCGCCGAATACCACCGAGTCAAAGCACGTCGTCGCACGCCCGCCGCCAGCCGTCACCGACTCCGTCAGCGTCACGCCACTCACGCAGCCCTGCGCATCGCCACCACCGCCACCGGCCCTCGCAGGCGGCACGTCGAACGGCAGGCACGCCTCGCCCACGCCGCCGGCACGGCAGCTGCACACGCAGTCGGAGAACGAAGCCGTCAGCGCATCGAAGCACGCCAGCGCAGCCGCACAGCCGTCGCACGGCACCACGCTCACGGAGGGCAGGCCGGCCATGCGGTAGTCGCCGCTGCTCCGCAGCACCCGGCCGCCGGCACGGTTGCACTGCACCGACACGACGCCGCTCGTGATCGTCAGCCCGGAGACAAGCGTCGCGCCAGTGGCAGCGCAGCGCGCAATCGACACGGTGCCGCTGCCCAGCGTCACACCCGACAGCGACGCCACAGACGATATCTCGCCCACCGCCCACACGTCGCGCAGCTCCAGCCACCCGCCGGCACCGACCGTCCCACCGTCGCATCGCACCAGCGACGACGCGACAGACCCCTCGACGCCCACAAAGCGCAGCACCGAATCAAACACCGCGAGGCGCTCGCCAAGCACAATGCCGCCGCCGCTGCTCACAACCGACACGTTCGTCACGGAGAATACCGAGTGGCTCCGCAGACTGAGGCGCGACGAGGACGACACACGCATCGCGGACGCGGTCGGACCGCCCGACGCCTCCAGCGACACGCCGTCAAGCACCACAGCGCTCAACAGCAGGTCCACACCGCCACCAACGTACACCGCCGACCCGCCCGCCTGCAACGACCTCAGCAAAGTGTTGCTCACACGTAGCTGCGACTCCAACAGCGAGGTCGCGTGCAGCACAAGCGGCGACGCCACCGCATCCGTCAGCCCGCTCAGCTGGGAGTAGCGCATCGGTCCCGCCGTCACAATCGTCGAGTCACGGACCGTCACGTTCGTGTGTGCCGGCAGGTTGTGCACAAACACAAGCGAGCAGTAGCTCCCGGACAGCCCGCTCACGCTCACCTCCAGGCTCCGGTCACTCGCAGGCTCGCCGCTGTAGCCCCGCACGTAGATCTGCGCACCGCCGTCGCACACGCAGTTCGTCAATTCGATGCGCAGCGCGCCGGGAAGCATCGCCGCAACGTCGAACACAACAGCCACGCCGTTCGTGATGGACACGCCGTCCATCAGCACCGTGTCCACGGCACGGCCAACCGTGATGGCTCTGTCCACTGTACCGCCCCGCAGTCGCAACACCACCGCATGCACCGCGGGCATCCACGCTGCCACAGCCACAAGCGCCAACACAACGAGCAGCGCCACACGTACAGTCGCAATGGCCCTGCACCGCACACGGTGCCGGCTGCGCGGACACGCACCCACCGCAGACCACATCCACCGACACAAACAGGTACCAACAGGGCTCTCGTGGTGTGTTGCACTCGCCCCGTCGACCGTAGCTCCTGTCCAGCAAAGCCTGTTCTACAAATGGCAAATCAAGAGACACAATTCCGATAGATCGATATCCTACTACTGCTGCTAATCCTACAGCAATTAATCCCTAACACCTTGAAACGATAGATGTGCCGATCAAGCAAAATTATCTCTAACTGCACAATCAGAGGAGAAGAAAGCAGCGGCAACAGCAAATAAACACAGCGGCACGCAGAGGCATCCGGTCACAGACAGTCCCCACCAATGCACAGCCAGCGACGAAAAGAAGCGCAGACGCAGTCAGCCCAGTGATGTCACCGCCCTCCCACCGCCAACGCAGCCCCACACAACCACCATGCAGAGTGGCAGGACCCCAAAAAAAAAAGATACATGACTATTAGCACCGCTCCTGCGACCAAAAGGCTCCACCACAGAGCAGTCCCGATGCCGCGAAAAACACAAAAGGACCGAGACAGACCCACGTGGCAGCGTTACGACCGTCGACCATCAAGCGCGTCCGAGGATGTAATGTTGACACGGGAGAGAAGTGGAGGACTCGCCGTTCGCCGGCAGTCAAGGCGGCGTTCCTCCCTCACTTGGGTCGGCATTTCAAAACAAACAGCGGCATCATAAGCGCAAACGGCACACACAGAAGGAAGCATGAAGAAGTGCGGTGGCGACACTCAGACACGGGAGACAAGGGTCCACGTCAATCGTGCGGTCGGTGCCTTCCTTCTCCCACTGGGGAGCCACTTCACCAACGCTGTCGCTCGCTCACTCCCCACCAACACAGCAAGGGAGCAACAGCGGGAGATGCGACACGTGCGACGAGCACGCAGCCGCAGAGCCTCACCGCTGCCGCAATGACAAAAGAGAAGAGGGCAGCACAGAGCACGTTATCCAAATCCTCGGCCGCCAAACGCTTTAGTATCGCGTGGAAAAACCGCAACCGACACAAAAGGCAAAGCGCCATGAAGCACGGTGCCAAAGCCAAAGCCCCTCCAACAAATTCATCGTGAAGCAAAAGAAAAATATGCAAGTGCAAAAATAAAAAGGCCGATGCAGAGGCAATAAATGGTCTTGGTGCGCAGCGGCCACGGCATCGCACTCTTCCCTCATCAGACGGCACCGCACCAAAACGCACCGTGACGACAGCGTGCAACGACGACGATGGAGTGGCACACACAAAGCGGCATAAACGTTTCCTCCTGTAATTGCGCAAATTTATGCTCTCAGTATGTGCTGCCAACAGCACAGGGAAGGACACAGAAGGGGACTGTCCTGTCCATCCACCCTCTGTCCACAACAGACCTTTCCCATCCTCCTCCTCGCCACGCCCTGGGTGCTGCGAAACGCCGTCAAGCAAATCCACGTGTATTGAAGCCCCCAATGCGCAGGGCGAGGCAGGAAGCCACCCACACTCACTCCCCGCACACATCCTCTCCCACAACTTCCCCACACACAAAAGGGCAAAGACGTGGAGAAGAGAAGCCCGCCGCACAACGCACGCAGAAGCACCGCCATCCACGTCGCACCGCAAGATAGAGTCATGCGCACAGCAGACCCACGGCCGCAACAAGAGGGACGGAGCGCATACAGGTCCACGGCGCTGTCCTTTACTTCTCTCTGCCCCGACGGATTGGAAGTACGCCCCACAGCGGGTTGTGGCGGGTGGCGTCTCACACCCACAGTGAGGCACGGCGCACACCATCTTTTCCCCTCCGAGTGCACTCAACAGGCCGGAGCACGGCGTCCAGCCAATCTATTGACATCGCAGAGGCGAACACAAACAATCGTCGTCGCGGAACATCAGTGCCTCTAGCGGGGGAAAAAAAAAAGAGGCAATAGGGGCATGTCAACAGCACGGTCAGCAGAGGGACAAGAAAAGGGACACAAGGACAAAAAGTGGCAGTGGACATGGCACAGACAAAAAGAGTCCGCAGTGATTTAAGAAAGAGAAAAAAGAAACAAAAAAGTAGGAGTTCAGAAAATTCCCAAAAATATAAAAAAGAAAAAAAAATGTTTATTCGGCAGGACTTTTACTTCATGTGTCGGTTCAGCACAAGACGACCGTGTGTTCTGTATAAATATTACCTGCACCAAAACGAAAAAGAAAAAAATAAATGAAAAAAAGAAAGTAAAAAGAAAAAAAAGATCGTACTATTCCACCAGCCCACACAACATCCCTCACTTTTATTGCGGTATCCGGCCTTTTCTTCCAATCCTCCCTTCGTGCAGTCCGTGGGACGCACAGCCGCAGGGCCGGCACCGCGTGTGGGTAGCAAAAGCAAACAAGAGGGGGAAACACGTCACTCATAACAGTGTGCAGCAACCAAACATTTAAAAAAAAAAAGAAAAAAAGAATTACTGAGTATTACAACCAAACACTAAAAAAAATAAAAAAAGGAAAAAGAAAAAGAAGAGAACCCGCGGGGAATGCGCCACACAATCTCCGTGAGGAGTCGCAATTCCACACTCTTCGGCTCAGAAGAATGCCACAAGTGCACATAGTCCCAGAAGAAACAGCAACGCCCGAGACACGAGCACGCACGCGCAGTGCTATCACCACTCAAATCATGCAGGATCAATTTCGCGTCGGTGATCAGGGCGAGGCGGTCCTCTGGACCCATTCTGCCATCGGATGCTGAGTGATTGGTTTCTGGAACGGAAGTGTCATTTTTAGCGGCAGTGCGTGGACTCAATTCGTCCGTAACATTCTCAGCACTCGATTCACTGCCCGCAAGAACACGGACAGAATGAGAGTCTGCCGGCTGTGCAATTGGAGCCTCTTCAACGTCCGCCAGGAAAGTCGTCAGCTGTGTGGCCTTCTGCTTTTCTTCCCCCGTCGCTGTGAATTTCACCGCAGTGTCCAGTTATTCGGCAGCCGGATGTCGAATAGGAACTGTCTCGGCGTTGAGGTTTCTGAGATCATCACGATACAGTATGCGGTTGTACAGAAGGACATCAGCCACCGTCACAGGGGTGCTCCCTTCATCTTCCTTATTGCCCGCACCAAAGAAGTGTGAGATCCTGTGTGGAGCAAACTGATCAGCGTTACGGTGCTTAGCCATTTCCTCCTCTTCCAGTTCTTCGTCATCCGTCTCGTATATTCTTCTCCCATTAGCGTACACAAACCATTCATCATCGTTATCCTTTTACACCGTCACTCGAATTGCCGTGTTTGTTTCCCAATTGCCAACATCACCAGACGGCTTCACCAAAAAATCTTTCTTGTGAAGTGTGAAGTTCCAATTTCTTTCACTCGTGTACGAGAGCTGAAAGAGCACCGTGCTGGCCGTGTCGTTCAGCCTCGCACCAATCAAAGGAATGGGGATGCTGCCTGCCTTCGGCACCTCGTGGATGGTCACCGTTGCCGAAAGAGTGAACCCGTTGTTTGTAAAGTAGTACGCCACAGTCTGCCCCATGCTGCCAACAGGCCACTTCGCACCTGATCCCTTGAGCGTCACACCGCTCTCTGTGCTGGTCACTCCGCCCCCCACAGCGGCATTCACGCCGAGGTACTCGTCCTTCCATGCAGTCCCGTCCAATGTGCTGGACAAAAAACCAACCAGCCCTTCAGTGGGAACTCTCAAGGCGCTGTCCATTTCTTTCCATGTCTTCACCGCAGAATTTATCCGCCCCAGCTGCTCAGTCAGGCGCATGGCAACAAGACTGTATGTCCCATCACCATTCCTCTTCTCGTACAGTAAAATCAGCTCATCCTTACGTTTCACCAGAAGAGAACTGGCGGCAGCGTCATCACCCTCACGGGATATTGGCCCAATATTTTTTTTTCTACTCTTACCAGCGCGTCTAGCTATACAGTGCCATCTGAGTGCCGAAGAGGTGGTCGAGCAACGACAAAAGTTTCCTGCTATGAAGCAACTGCCATTGAGAGAACTTTCCGAGGCGAAGGTCCTGTTCAATGCCCAGCCGTTGACGCACAGCCAAGGTGCCTGGACATTCTAGAAGCAGATGGTGCAGGGTTTCCTGCGGGCCAATTGGCGTGCTTGTGGAAGCTGGCTGATCCTGCGGCAGCAGAGATCGCCTCCTGGCACTGCTGTTTCGATGTCGTGTGGCGTCTGGGTTGTGTGCGCAGCGACTTCTGTGCTGTGCGGTGCTTCTCCGTGCGGGGAAAACCATGTCACAGAAATCGCATTTGAGCTCGGGAAGCGGTGGAGGATGTTCCGGATGGAATGACCGACAGTGACTGACGAGACCCGAGAATCCCGTCAATGTGGAATCACAGTGCGGACATTTCTCCTTCCGACGGCGTGTGAGGGTCCGTCTGCTTACTGGAGAGACGTCTTCCTCCCTCGCCGACGGGGGAACAGTGTCCGTCCCCGGTGCAGTTGGATCGTTGTTAGAGCGCATATATGCAGACTGTTCCGGTGAGATGTTGCAGAATCGGCATTGGTTCGTGCAATCTCTCACGGCCCAGTATAGTCGGCCCCAGAGCTCAGATTCCCCGCACCTTGCCCTTGCGAGGTGAACCAGTTCCTGACGGTGTAGAACTTCCTGAGTGATCAGGTCCTTACCGCTGAGATCTGATGGCCTTGTGCCGCAAAGCAAGTAGCGATGAGTATCTTGACGAATGGTACTACGCCACTTGTTGGTGAGCTGGGTAGTAAAACATGTCAGCAGATCCGTATGCCATAAAGGTGCGATTCCTTGCTCCGTGTATTGTCCACTTTCCATAGTCTGCGTCGCATACTGATCTGCAAGCTCGTTAGCATGTACTCCGCAATGTCCGTAACAAAACTGCAGGTGCACGGACCAGCCAGCACACGTCAGTGTCAAGAGACGCTGCCAGATCTGATCCTCCGTCCAGTCTGTCTGACTGAGCGGGCCCTTGTTTAGAGCCGCTAGAAGAGACTGACTGTCCGTAACCACAAGCAGGGTTTTACGCCTGTGGCGGATACGAGGAATCATCAGCTTCTCTAGGGCTAGAAGCAGCGCACGGGATTCCGTCCTGTAGCTGCATGGGCGTGCACCGCAGTTTATGCTGGCCTTTTCTATTATCTCCGATGAGTTGAGGGATGAAAGCAGTATTCCAACCCCTGCTGACTTGGGAACGTCGACACCGCCATCGGTCGCAAGCATCCACGAACGATGGCTGTGCAGCGCTAAAGCCTCTTCGCTGACTCTGCGCTTTTCCCTTATCAGCTCCTCTTCGTCAGTTATTGAGTGGTCTATCGGAAGTTCCACGCCGATGGTGACCCGGTGAGCGGAGGCCGCAAACCAGGGAGGAATGGAGCTGCGAAAGAACCGCTCTTCGCGTGGTGAGCTCTCGGTGATGCCATAGTCCTTTGTGTATGCGTCTACGAAGGCATATAGCTCGTCCCGAGATAATGGCGAGATGCGGAAACCGGCGCGAGGTGGTGGCTCAGGCGGGGGTCTCCGCATCCAGTCCATCTGACATGCGCGTGTGTTCTCAAATATTGAGAGCCGCTCGCGCAGGCAGAGGACATGGAGCGGCGGCATATTAGCCTCCAGTAGCGCGGATTCCGTGTCAACAGTGCTCGGAACTCCGCTGACAATGCGTGCTAGAGTTGCGTACGTCTTCTGCATCTCATTCTTCGCTGAATCCGTCGCTACTGCCCATATGAGCTCGCTGCCATAGCGTAATTTGGAAGCACCGTATCCAATGACGAACGTGCGTAGGTCATGTGGAGATGGTCCCGCCTCTTTGTGCGCTATGCAGCGTAGCTGCGATATCCGTTGCGAAGTGGCAGCGCATTGCTTGGTGGCCGCCACATTTAGCGTCAGTCGTGGATCGAGATCCATGCCGAGAAGCTTCGTAGTTCGCGACGCCCCCATGGTCATGACTGGGATTTGACATGCAGCCACTACCAGGGGCCACTTTCCTTCACGATCATAATCTGACTCCGTGTGCGTGGATAGTGTGAACCAAGCGGCTTCACACTTTGACGGGTTGATAGCCAGGCCATTTTCCTGACTCCACGCATGCAGTTTTTGAAGAACCATGTTGGCAGTGGGAATGGCGTCTTCCCGGGACTGCCCCTTAACGATAATAGAGAGGTCGTCCGCATACATGTCTGCTGTGACACCCGCAAAGCTGTTCAGCAGATTGAGAAGTGGGTGTACGTAAAGGGAGAACAAATACGGTCCCAGCACGGACCCCTGAGGAACTCCTCGCAGCATGGGACGCCGATCGCTGTGTCTGTGGCCAACTCGTGTCTTCGCGTAGCGACCACATAGAAAGTTTCTAAGCCACCTTCTACAATTCACCCCCGGAATATTAGCCAGCAAGCGACTGAGGACTCGATGATCTATGGAGTCAAAAGCCTTGCTAAAATCAACCAACACTAGCAGGGTCCGATGGGGTCTGTAGTGGAGTTGATTGCCAATACCGCTCTTCTTGGGAAGGCTCACTTGGAAATAGTGATTTCTATTATGCTCCACTTCGTGTATCAGGTGTGCCAGCTGCATCGTCGTAGTACGCATACTACGATATGCATACTGGTGGGGGTGCGGCGTCCACACCCAAAGCAATCTCTTCAGTACCATTTTCTCAGCAACCTTACTCACAATGGAGGTAAGGCTGATGGGTCGATATGACTCAAGCACTTCCGGCGACTTACCGGGTTTTAAGAGTGGAACGATGGTAGCGCGTCTCCACTCAACCGGAATCGTACCGGTCGTCCAACTGTGGTTAATGCAACGAAGAAGGAATCGGAGGCCCTTTGACGAAATATGTCGCAGTGCCTCACTGTAGACTTCATCCGGTCCGGGGGCCTTGCCATACGGCGTATGACGTAGCGCAGCAAGCAGTTCCGTACGATTAAAAGGTGCATCAAGAGGGGAGTGAAGATGAGCAACTAAACCAGATGTGGTGGCAGCCTCGTTTTTATCCTGTGGCTCAGAACTAGATGAGAGTGAAGAACCTGAAGTAAATGTAGCGGCAGACTCGTTGTTGTTCTGCGGCTCAGAAATACAAGAGATAAGAGAGGTGGAAGAAACTAAGCTAGAAGTAGCGGCAGACTCGTTGTTGTTCTGCTGCCCAAAAAGAAAGGAAGCATTAATGTTCAAGGATGCACTCTGTCTGTTGATGCCTTTGGAAAACCTAACTGCCTTGTGAGAGGGGTGAAATGGAAGAAAGATGCGATTGAGGGCATTCGCTGCTCTCCTTGCTGTTTTGTAAGTGTGTTGACCATCTCCTAATAACATTGATGTGGGAGATGGAAGTGATGCCTTTTTTCGTCCGGAAATGTATTTCCATGCGAGTGGCTCGCCTGGATTTAACTTGCTGATGCGGCGTAGATACGTGTTGCGCAAGCGCTCTCGGAGTAGGAGGAAGAATTGACTCCTTGTCCGTTGCATTTCTGCCTCACGGTCGGGCGTCGGTGACTGTAGATAGCGGGCCTTGCTGTCGGTAGCCATCCGCTCTGCCTCCATGAGAGTGTCGTCCCAAAGCCTGGGACCGTCCTTGTGCATGCCGCGGGGGCAATGCCGTCGATACGAAGTTATAAGCGCTCTCGTGAAAGCCTTAATGCCGGTGGACTGCTTTTTATAGTCGTATGCCGGAAGTTGTGCGTCGAAGTCCTTGATGAATAAATCCCACTTGCACTTCCCCCAACTGTAGAAAAACTTAGGTGCCGACGGGGGCGCCGAAGGTATGGTATCCTTAAATGCCTGATGCAGCGTAAATGTCAGCATATAATGATCACTAAGCGGCGACACGGGAGCTGACCAATCCGACACAGTCAAATGCTTTGACCATGTCAGATCGATGCGGGATCGTTCTCTTGTGCCACGGGCATACGTGATCTCACCAGGGGTGTTAACCAAGGTGAGTCCCGCATCCGTGCACAGTTCTAAAAATTCTGCAGCAACCTCGCTTGGAGAAGTCTCCAAGAATGGCTCCCACTGTGAGTGATGCATGTTGAAATCCCCGCACAGCAGGAGCGGCGACGAGGCTGGAAGGCAGTTTACTAACCGCCCGAAGGATTGCGTTACTTGCGGTGGTGGTCTCATATAGGCACTCGCGACAATAAGATCACGGTTCTGGTCCAGAGCAACCTGGACCACCACCACTTCAAGGCTGGTGTCATGCTGGGGGATGGTGAGAGGTATACGCTTGGAGCGGAGAGTTTTCCGCACCAGTACCGCCACACCGCCTCCCTTGCCGATGCGCGACTGTGCATGGAGCACATAATCTCCAGTGTGCATGCTGGCGATCTGCTCTGACGACTTCCAAGTCTCCTGAATGGCTATTATGTCTGCTCCTTGCGCCATTAATGTTGCGAGTTTTGACGGCGTGAGGCAAGAAACGTTCATCTGGAGTACTGCTATGGGGCCTGGGTTCTGCTCAATGTCTCCGCTTAGCAGTAGCTTTTGTCGTTGCGCGTCACATACGGCACGCAAACGGTATGTATAGCGCTGATAAGCGCCGATGGAATTCAGCAGCGGATAGAAATACCGCTCCGCGGGCAGCCATGTAAATGGCTCCATCTGGTGCCCTTCCGACCCGTTTGTGCGGCGCCTCCTGCCTCTCCGCGTGCAGCGGATGGGCAGCAGGCGCTTAGCTTCCTCTCTAGCAAGAGTACTAGACCCTGGCACCACGTTGAGGTGGCCGGCTGAGCCAGGGTAATCTTCTCTTCTTATATTCTCATATTGTTTCATTGCTTCAAAGGTGTCACCCTCTTTTATTCTTGTCGGGCCACTAGGTTTTCTATACGCGTGCCATGCGTCAGTTGATCCACGTCACCCCGCAGCCACCAGCGCTGCTGTTACTTCTGCTTGTGATGATGCCTGTGATGTGTTGTGCATGCGGGTGCTTTGCTGTCACCCTGACGTACCCTTTCTCCCTTTGGCAAAGAGATGCGTGCCGCCAGCGCCAAGTCGATCTCGGCTGTGGTGAGGGACGTTTCCTTTTAGAGCAGAGGGTACGTCGCAGACATACACCATGATCGGGAGGAATGGATGGGCGCCTATCTGCATCAATGCTTCGACAAGGGACCTGGATGATGCCAGGAAGTATTGCAGCTCAGAGCGGCATTACGCAATGAATTCATTGTTGGCAATTGTGACTGTAACGATGACGTTTTTTTTTTTTCTACTGAGAAAAGGGAATTTTTCTTTTTGTTATACGTTGCGGCCACTATCCGTTGATAGGCTGAGGACTGTCCGTAGAAACGTGGCCAGTTTTCACGCCTAAAACGGTGCTATCGTGCGAGAGGAGTTATCCCACATCATGTGCGGCAGGGCCTCCCGTGGACCGTCAGGCGGTTCAGCGGCTGGTGGTTGCAGTATAGAAGTGGCTGAAGGGCTGTGGTTGTCATTGGAGCTTGCAGAGGTGCTTTGTCCGCTTTTCGCCCGTTGATACACTTGACATTTACAGTAGCGACTCGAAACGCTCGCAATCCGCGGCGATGCACTCGCTCAGCCCTCGTGCCGTTCCGTCACGAACAGGCGTCACCACTTCCGAGTTCGTGCGTCGTGGCGTGGATCCAGGCTGAAGTGGGTGATGTGCCGGCAGTGCTGACAGGCGGCGGTGGACCAGTCCTGCGCTAACCCCTAGCAGGGCAGAGAGCAGCGGGATGGACCGGCAACTCTCTCTGTGCGGCATTTGTCCTTCCCGTGTTTGCGGATGGGAATGTTGTCCCCCGTTTCCCAGGAACATCACAGGCTGCCGTCAGAGAGGTGTTGATCATCTTTCTGTGAGAACCGCGGACGGCGGGTGCAAGATGGCGGTGAAACGTACTCAATACGCCGCCGGCACGCCACTGCACGCCTGGTGGAAGTCACCGCAGCCAACGAGCCTCGTCGCTGGGGCACTCCGGTGCCTGCACTCCTCCAGAACAACCATGTCGGGCTGTTGCTGCGCCAGTCGAGCAGCAAGGGCAATCCTGGGGGACGTGAAGTTCTGAGCTGCCAGACAACTACGAGGCCATCCACGTCGGGGCTGCGGCTCTTGCGGACAACACCGCAGCGTGTGATGCCGACGGAATGACCGCAATGAAGCGACTGTGTGGTTCTGTCAATCAAGCTGCAGGCAAACCGCCTCGCCCCTCCACAACCGACAGAGCGCAAGATCCTCTCGAGGAGTGACGCCGTCGTGGACACCATCACGCTCGCAGCAATGCCCTTCTGCAATCACACCGACAGAAAAACAAGGAAGAGTGTGTGGATGTGTGCCGAGAGCACAGCGACTGCCATCGCCAGAGGAGGCCATCGTGGCAGCGTCCGTCACGCGTCAGCACACACTGAGCAACGCCCAAACACAAAAAACAACCAACAATATCCAAAAAAGCAGAGTCTCCCTCGCAGCACCCACGCGCTGCCACCAGTCCTTTTACTGTTCACCCTTCCGGCGCACCCTCCAACGCACATCACCCCGCACAGGCGAAGAATCCCTGAACAAAGTATACACAGCATAGGAGATACACATTGGCACGTGCAGCAACTGGACGAGAAGCAATTCGCACTTGTCCCAGGCACCCTAACCCACACCATCCAATAGACTGCACACCTGCAACGCGTCAAAAAATAAATCACAGGCTCCCGTCTTCCCTCCTCGCTAGGGACGTCGCAGCCAGAATCTTGTGCGTGCGTCCGTTCTCAGCAATCACGCCGCTCTACAGCGTATGCATAATGGCGTGTGTGTGTGCATGTGTTTGTCAAACCCAGTACATGCAGAGCAGCTGTGCGCCACAAGAGAGTCTGAAGAAAGCAACGGCAGAGAGAGGCAGATAGCACACACGCAAATTACTCATATCATCATACACACACACGCAGCCGTGGAATGGGTGCACTCAAACACAAAATCAAAAAGGAAAGCAAAACAAAAAGCCGAAGCGTGGGACGACCAGCGCACACACACTCTCACTGCTCCCGTAAAGCAAAACACACACACACAGAGAGAGAGAGAGAGAGGTCGCCCACTCAATGCAATAAAAAAAAAACAGAAACAGTTACGGTGCTCCGCCCATGCAGCCAGGCAGGACGGCAGCGGTGCGTGTCGTGCAAAAGAGAGCACCAACGGGCCTGCATGGGTGTGCATGCATATATACAATGGGCACATTATTGTGTGTGCCTCGTGGGGTGAGGTGAGGGCGAGAGTCCATGCAAGGGGACACACACACAGAGAGAGAAGGAAGAGTGTGTGTGCGGGCGGTGCATGGCTCTCTCTCCCTCACTCTCACGCGGCCACCACCGCAGCCACAGCCGCACACGCAACAAGAAGAGGCAAAAGAGGGGAGGTGGTGTGCGAGACCGCGATGCTGTCGTCACTGTCGCCTTTTGCTGCCGTGACATTTGTGCGAACAACGTTTTCATCCTTTGCGGATTCCTCTTCGTTCTCTGTGGGATGTTCATGCTGTTGATGTTGTTGATCTTGTATTTCATCTTTTTGTTGCTGTTGTTTTTCTTCATGTTTTATGCTTTCTTCATCTTGTTTTTCCTGTTTTTGTTGCTGATCTTTTGGTTCTTCTCGATGTTCTCGTTGTTCCAGTTGTCCTGATCGCTGTTTTTCTTTTCCGTGTTCTTGTTTCACTTGAGGTTGTTCGGATGTGTGTTGTTCTTGTGGCAGTGGGTTTTGGGTGTTCAGTTCATGTCCCGGTTCTTCTTGTAATATTTCATTATTTTGTGTAGATTCTTGTTCGACTGGACTATCCTGGTCTTGTGTTGCTTTCGTTAGTTCATCATCTTCTTCTTCTGATAGTGATATTGGTGGAGGAGGAGGTGCTGGTTGATTTCTCGTGTCAGCTCCAGCTTCCGTCGGCCCTTTATTTTCATATTCATTCCCAGTTGGTTTGTGTGGAGCGGCATCTAACTTCACTTCCTGCTCTTGTGGGAGACGTATGCCAGTGTTTGACATCGAAGCTTCCTTCCCTTCCTGTGAGTTTGTAGATCCTCTTCCTCCTCCCGCTGCTGTTGGTTCTCCTTGCCTCACTGGCAAACTCAGATCTGAAGAAGATAAATGTTCCGCATTCTTTTCGTCCCTGCCAGAAACAAGATCATCAGTACCACCATTGGCCACCACAGACAAACCGCACCACAGCACGCAGAGGGCACACACCAGCAGCACACGGCCAGTCATCATCATCGCCATCACTCCTGTCACTTGCGTGCAGCCTTCAGCACAAACTAACAACACGTCAACGCAGAGTGAAAGAAAAAAAGGGAGAGACACGGCACAAAAAACAAGAAACAAAAACCTGCACACAAATGGCTCCAGTGCGCATGCAACTACCCTCAACGGCGCGTCCACGCAAACAGTTGCATGCATGTCGTGCATATGAGTGTGACTGACACTTTCAACGTGGCGGATAAAGGGAGCAGCAACACGGAGCACACAGCACGGCAGCAGAAGCAAACTAAGCAAAAAACAATCATCATAATTACCCTTACTTTATAAATCGGACCACAGTGGACGTACAAACGTCCCCGTGGTTGAGTGCTGGCACGCACAGCCCGCATACACCTTTCAGCCCAGAGCGGTGCACGCCAGCGCGGATACGGCGAGCAGCAGCGGGGCACACACCCACGCAGAGCTGCTGAGGCTGCCGTCGCTTTCGCGAAGACGTGACGGTGCGCGGGTGGTCGTTGTGGTTGACACTTCTGTAGTCGTAGCCGTATCACCTGGTGTCTTTGTTGTAGTGGTTGTGGTCGTCGTGGTTGGCGCCTCTTTAGATGTAGTAGTAATTGGTGCCTGTGTTGTAGTAGTGGTAGTAGTTGTCGTCGTATTTGGTGTCTGTACCCTATCCTTTTTATTATTTTTGGACTCTTCCGTATTATGCTCCGTATTTTTTTCTACCGTATTATCGGGAATATCCGTCGAACGTGGCAGATCGTTGTTCCCACTTCCTGGCAATGAATGACCAGGCGCTTCTATTTTATCTTGTGTAGTGGACAA